GTGCGAAGTTCAATTGATAGAGCAGGAAAAAATTACAAGATTACAACCCTGGAGGGTCGTAACTAGGAAAAAGGAAAAAATATCACCATCCACACACCGACAACGCTAACACACAACCCGGGAGAAGGCTAGCACCGAACTGGCCACCGCTAAGCGTGACCGACCGCCGCTAGACCAACAAAGGAACACAGACGAGATTGCCCCCTAGGGGATGCCAAAACGACGTCTTCAAGAAGAAAAGCGACGGAAAAACCATTGCCGCCGTCCGTCAGGCTCAAAGAAGCCAAGACTGGGCTTTCGCCCGACAACCACTCTTGAGGGGTGAGACAGCACGACAACGCCCTCAGGAGGGGGAATGAACCATCGTTGTCGGTCCGGCTAAGGCCGGGCTAGGTTTTCACCCGCCGCTCACCATCTGCAAATTCACGGCTGACGCACCGATGCTCCACCACCACTCAAGCTCTGCCGACAAGTGGGACCCCTGCACCGGCGTCCCCCACTGTCCAGCCTTCGTGCGCCGAAGACCGCGCTACACCCACCGGCAGCTCCTCCTCACACCGAGGTCGCCTCCTCCACCGCTGGCCGCGCCTCACGCACCAAACCGGCCTCCTCCACCGGACGCGCCTCTCGCGCCAATCCGGCCTCCCTCCATCGGCTGCGCCTCACGCGCCAAGCCGGCCTCCATCTCCGCCGAACGCGCCTCTCGCGCCGAGCCGGCCTCCGCTGCCATCGGCTGCGCCTCTCTACGCCAAGCCATTCTCCAACCCCTCCTCCAAACGATGCCACGCCGGCCAGATGCAACCGTCTGCCACGCCCTCGGCTAGCCGTCCGAAGCCACCATGCCTCCGGTGACCGCGGTCACCGCCACCGCAGCCGCTGCTTCTGAACGCCTAGCCACCTCGCCGTCGCCATCCTCACCTCCTCCGCCGCAACCATGTCCACGGTCGCCACGGCCATCGCCACAAGCCGTCCGCCGTTGCAGCCTGTAGCCACTAGCACCCGCTGTCGCCGCCCGTGAGCTCCATGTCACCGGCTGTGACTCCATACCGCCGCCGGTCTCCATGACGCCCTCCCGCTGCCACACGACGCTGGCCTCCACGACAGCCACACGTCGCCGGCCTCCACGACGCCTGCACGGCAGGCCTCGCTACCCACGAAGCCGCACAACCGCCTCCACAACGCCTCGACCACCACGGCCGCTGCCTCGCCAGCCAGCCGCCGCCATCGATGCCGCCACAGCCGCCGTCACTGCCGCCATCGGCAGCCGCAGCCACCACCAGCCAGATCTGGCTAGAGGCGTCGTTGCCTCCTCCCGCATCGCCGGCGTCACCACCGGTTCTTGTGGCACCTCCACCGCCGCATCCGTCATCCGGCCGCATCTTCGTGCTCGGCTACCGGAGGCAGCTCCGGCAGCGTCTCCCGCCAGGTTGCCGCCGCCAGGTCGCGCCAGGTCACCGCCGCCCAAACCTACCGCCAAACCTTGCCGCCGAGCTGCCAGGACGCCGCCGCCCGTCGCTGGGGGACCGGATCCGGGCACCACGGCACCGGATATGGACGCCGCCGATCGGCGCCAACGCCATGCCCTGAGCTCGTGCCGTGCCGATGTCCCAACCGTCTTGGCCGCGAGCGAGGGAGAGTAAGGGTGTTAGTGGGTCAGCCGCGAACCCATTTATAGGTAAAAATAAGCGGGTTCACGGCTTATTTTAGCCTATAAGTGGGTTTCGCGGGTTAGCCACTTACACCCATAAGGGAGAGAGAGCCCCGCCGCCGCTGTCCTTGCAGCCGCCCGGCTTTGCCGGCGGTGAGGCTGGGGAGGGGAGGAGAAGGGCGGGGACGGCGCGGCTTGTTCGCTGCCCGCGTCGCCCCCGGGACAGAGCGACCGGGCAGCGCGTTTGTATTCTGGCCCAAGACATTTGTATTGACTTGTAGTCTTGTAGGTCTCCTTTCAAATATAGGATTGAAAACAATACATGAACATAATAACAAAGAACATGATAGGAATCTATGCGTACAGAAATTCTACATTTTGCCAACCAGTTCTACGAATTGACCACAGCGAACATGAGTAATTAAGGCTGCGCTCGTTCTCCCGAGATGGAAACCCATTCCCTCCGCATAAAAAATGGAGAAGTCCATTAGAGCATGATTAATTAAGTATTAGCTATTTTTTTTAAAAATGGATCAATATGATTTTTTAAGCAACTTTTCTATAGAAATATTTTTGTAAAAAACGCACCGTTTAGCAGTTTGAAAAGCGTGCGCGTGAAAAACGTGCGCGCGGAAAACGAGGAGGAGAGCATGGGAACAGGTAGTGCCGAACACAGCCTAAGTTCTCTTAAATTTACTCCCTGTTTTTCAATGTTTTTGACGTTTTCTTTGTTAAACATTTTTAAAGTTTGACCATGTTTATAGAAGATATAGTAATATTTTTAACACAAAACAAACAAATAAAAGACAAACAAAAGATAATATCAAAACATATTCAATGTTAGATTTAATTAAAACAAACAAATAAAGATACTATCAAAATATACTCAATGTTAGATTTAATCAATTTGATGTTATAAATGTTTCTATAAACTTAATTAAATATAAAAAAGTTTAACTAGAAAACAAAGTAAAAGTATTTTATAATATAAAACTGAGAGACTAAAATACCGATTATACCACCAAATTTTAATTTTACATCTCGAATTATCACTCTGCGCAGATAGATACTCCTACGTTACTAAATGGAGACAAAAGCCCACACACTACCAATGGGAAAATGGGAACTGCAATCCCTGGTGGGAGGCGGACTGCTGGAGGGTGCATGTGCGTGGTTGGTCCGACTCCAATATACTCCCTCCGTTTCGTTTTATTTGACACCGTTGACTTTTTAGCATATGTTTGACCGCTTGTTTTATTTAAAAAATTTAAATATTTATTAATTTTTTTCATATCATTTGATTCATTGTTAAATATACTTTTATGTATATATATAGTTTTACATATTTCACAAAATTTTTTGAATAAGACGAACGGTCAAACATGTGCTAAAAAGTCAACAGCGTCAAATAAAACGAAACAGAGGGAGTATATACGGATGCAGATCTTCCGCTACTGCATCATCTGTACTACTGCAGACAGTCCCCACTTTATATATACATATATATTATTTATGAATGCGTACAAACTTTGTATACCTGTTTATAGGGATGTAATTATAGTATTACACACACACATATATATATATATATATATATATATATATGTGTGTGTGTGTGTGTGTGTGTGTGTTGTATATACACGTATAAAAATCTTTGTATGAGAAATACACATATATGTATAGATCTTATACATGTAAGTATACACTTTTGGCAGAAAAAACTTACACCTATAAAATACAAAGTTTGATTAAAATGGGCCAAGCCCACATGATAAAGAAATAGGCCGAGCATGCATTTTACAAATAAAAATTGAAAAGGTAAACGGGCCAAGCCCACGTGATAGAAATAGAGAAATGTGCTAAGCCTGCATTTTTTTTCTATGGGAATAAGTTCACCTGCTATGCCTCAACTTTACATCGTGACATTCCTAATCCCCAATAGTAGAAATCTTCACCCTTAAAATGTTCAAAACCGTACAATCAAGATCCCATGACAGTATATATATATAGGTGGTTTTACTGACGTGGCATCCTAGTCAGCAAAAATAAAATAAATAAAAATATAGGGTCCACAATTAAGTGAGATGAAAAAAATGTGGAGCCCACATATCTTATTTCTTCTTTTTTCTCTTTTCTTTTCTTTCTCTTCGCTTCTCTTGTCCTTTCCTCTCCAATCTTCTTGACGTTCAGCTGGTGGAAAATGGCCTGGTCGCCCGCCGCCGCCGCTCCGCTCCGTCGATCGGGTGCTCGCCGCCGCCGACGCCCCGCTCCACTTCGCCGGCCGCCGCCCATGGCGTGGCAAAGAAAGAAAAAAAAGAGAAGAGAAAAAGAAAAGAAGAAGAAAAATAAAAAGGAAGAAGAAAAGGGTGAAAAGAATAGATGCGGACCTGCATTATTTTTTTCTCACTAACATGTGGGCCCAGATTACTGACTAGGATGGTGCGTCAGCGAAACCACCCATATATACTGCAACGGGATCTTGATTGCACAGTTTTGAATATTTGAGGAGTGAATATTTCTGGTATTAGCGATTAGGGATGTCATATAGACTCAACGAGTTGAGGGAGGGTAGGTGTACTTATTCCTTTTTATGAAAGAAAAAAAATGTAAACGTACAGATAAAAATTCACCTGGCCCGTTAATGACAAAACGGGCCTGCAACTATCACTGATCGCCGAGCTCACCGGGTCCCCTGGCGGCCTGGCCACCGTGGTGCGCAGCGAGCAGCTTTTGTGGTATGACGCGCGCCGTCGCCGCCCAGTCGAGCGGCGGCGGTGGACGCGGGGGGGAAGGACTCGTCGCCGGCCAGTCAGCAGGTAACGGCGCGCCGGGCGCGGTGACCGAGAGATGTGTGACGATGGTTGCCTCCTTCAGGTGTGACTGACGCTCGTTTGCCGCTTGCTGCAGGAGACAGGAGGTGAATGGGACATCTTGTTGCTAGCTAGAGGTGGGTGGGCAGGGGATCGAGGTCGATCGATTGTGCCCAGAATATGCTGTGGTGTATCACCCATTTTGACATGCTTCGGCTGTGCAGGCACCCTGTTCGACGTTTTGCCTAGGAGAGCCGGCGGAGTTGGATCCAGCGTTTTCGCATGATTACCATCCTGTGATGATGTGCAATGACACTCTATGGGGGTATCTGAGGTCAGTACCCTGGGCCGATCATTTCTTTTTGAAGGGTACAATTTTTTTGAAATCCAGCCCTCTGATGAGCATAACTCTGTAAATGATAGTCGTTCTGAACTTCTGATATAGGCTGTAGTGATGACTTATCATACTGTTCTTACTTCTTAGCAGCACAAAAATTTGGAACTGGGAAGAACTCAATGTGCAGTTCACCCGAAGCACAGGATTAGAATAATCGACAGTTCACATTTCTGTTTGGTTTTCTGTACATGTTCTCAATGATTCATATTGTGAAGCTCACAAAATTAAAATACTCAATCATACATATATCGTAGATGCAGACAACTTGCCCCAACACATTACAAGAACCAAGTGGAGGAGCTACTACCTGGCAAGTACGAACTCATTTTACTAGATACAGTGGTGCCTGAATTATTGCTCAGATCAGAGTGTTCATAGCTTCAATTACAAAAATTTGCCTGTCTCAGCACTGTTAGAGTTGTATACATAAACGAAGTACTCTCATCGCTGTTTTTTCATATGCCTTCCCCATACAATTAGGATTGTAATTGCAAAGGAAACACCAAAACCCAATGCAGTGAAGAGGACTAGTAGAACATCTATGGATTTCTCCGAAACATATGGCATCACAGTTGACTCTTGTGGGTTATCACATTGTTTAGATAATGGCGGTCCACACAAACCAGTGTTTCCAAGAAAAGAGTTGTTCGAAAATGTGGAAAACTGATATGAATTTGGTATTCTTCCAACCAACGTGTTATAAGACAAATTCAGTATTGAAAGGAAGTTGAGTGATGCTAGCTCCTTGGGAATTTCACCAAAGAGCTCATTTGAGGAGAGGTCCAGTGACTCAAGTTGATTCAGCCTGCCAAACTGAGTTGGAATTGGTCCTGTTAGTGAATTGTGAGACATGTTGAGCCCATGAAGCAGAACAAGCTCCCCGATAGTCTCAGGAATGGTGCCATGGAATGCATTATTCGAGAAATCAATCAGCACAAGGGTCCTCAAGATCTTGGAAATTGTGATGTAATTCCCTTTGTATGTAACTGCAGCAGTAAACTGGTATGTTTGCCCATGGTAATATTGATTTTCCATGACTAATGTATCATTATCAGATATGGCATTCATGGACTTGAGCATCGTAAACCATGCTTCTGGCAATGTTCCATTGAAGTTATTTGAGGCCATATCGGCAATTCTGAGCTCTGTAAATTCACAACTGTTTCCATCAACTGTATATGAAGGATCCATTATTTGTCCAGTGAACTTGTTAGACTTGAGGGCAAGGACTTGAAGTTTAGGAAGTTTGCTCATCCAACATGGGAAGGAGTCACTAATCTCATTGTTTCCAATGTCGAGGATCTCCAAGTTCCTGCAAGCAACTAGAGATCTGGGTATCCTCCCCTCAAACAAATTGCCACTTAAATCTATTGCCTCAAGTGCACAACCTTCCTTGATGTTATCTGGTATTGTTCCAACAAGTTTATTTTCCTTCAGATTTAATATTTGTAATGCAGTGACATCCTCCATTAAACAAGATGGGATCGAACCACTCAAGTTATTGTAAGAGAGATCAATGAGTTGTAGTCTCGGAGCACTACAGATTGATGGAATATTTCCAGACAGTTTGTTTTTGGAAGCCTTGAAAGTAAAAGTTTCACCAAGGTAAGTTGAGTAATGAAGAGGCATGGAGGAGAACTGGTTGCTTGAATAATCTAACATGGTACTACCTTCTTGTGGTACAGGTATGGGCCCTTCAATGCTGTTGAAACTGAGATCAAAGAAGTCAATCTCAAGAGGAAGCAGAGGATCTGATCCAAGACTTGTAATGTTATTGTGTGATATGTTCAGGAGGAGAAAGTACATGCCTCTCCATGTCTCCCATGCCCACTGAGGTATAGCTCCCTGGATTTTGTTATGCGAAAGGTCAAGAGTGGTGATCTCATGGAGATGCTTCAAGATGTTGGGAAAGGTTGATATACTGCAAGATGCTAACCTTAAGAGTTTTATTTTTGGGAAGGGCACCAACGATGAACTGTTTTCTCCATGTAGCACAAGTAGTTTATTGTTTGAGAGATTCAGGACAGATAGGTTTTTCAGTTTTGTGAATGACGTGAGTTCCACCGTGCCAGCCAAATTGTTCGAATGGAGTTGCAGAGATTGCAACTGAGTCAAATTAAAGATCTGCGGAGGCACCTTCCCTGAAAACTTGCAGTTGTACAATGCTAACATACTCAATTTCTTTAAGTTTCCTATTGAGGAAGGTATCTCTCCAGACAATCCACAGTCAGAGAACTTGAGAACAGTAAGAGAAGTTAGGTTTGATATCCACGGTGCCATGGATCCTGTTAGCTGTATCCCAGACACTTCTAGCAAATCCAGGTATTTGAGGCTACCTAGTGAAGAGGGCAGCATTCCAGAGAAGCCACTGGCACCAAGGTCCAGCTTCGTAAGAGATTTGAGATTGCTTATGGAACTCGGTATTATACCTGTGAAGTTCGTGCTACTGATAAGAAGATTCTCTAACTTACTGTCCTGTGAGAAATTGGGCAGACTACCTGATAACCCAGGATTATTAGTGATGTTAATTGTTACCAACTTCTTGTGCTGGAAGATGATGGGAGGAAACAATCCTTCAAACTTGTTTTTGGACAGTTGAAGAACAGTGAGGTTGGAAAAGCCAGCCAAGAACTCTGGCACTGAACCTGACAAGTGGTTGTAATGAAGCTCAATCCTAGTGAGCGAATTCATGGAAGACAAGGATGTGCAGATGGGACCTGACAATGAGCAGTAAGGTAAACTTAGAACCTGAAGCTTAGGTGTAAACTTAGCTATGTCGTCACACCACCGTTCGCCGTTGCCGGACATATCCACCATTCCCATATGGAGCTCCTCCAGGTTGGTAAGGTTTGCCAGCAAGGTCTCCATGTTTGGCACTGAGAGCTGCCAGAAGTTGTCTGAAGCGAACGGCATCATCTTGTTCTCGTCATCATAATAAATGATGTAGAAGCTTGTGGAGAGGTCAAGGTACACCAAGTTCACAAGGCTTCCGATGCCAGCCGGCACCTCACCGGCGATGTTGGTGTCAGAGAGGTCAAGATGGGTGAGCTCGGTGAGATTCTCGAACCCGGTTACCGGGAGCTGGGACATGCTGAAGTTGTTACCAGAGATGTCAAGGTACCTGAGTGAGGTTAACCTGAAGAGTGCAGGGCTGATGCTGCCGGCTTGCAGGTTGTGGCCACCCAAGACGAGCGAGGTGACACGGCCATCTTCGCCGCCACCGCAGTCGACGCCGTCCCAGTGGCAGCAATCTGTGCCGGTGATCCACGACCGAAATGCAGTGGAGTAGCCGCCCGCCGTCTTGTTGAAGGAGTTCTTCAGCCGGAGCAGCGCGGAGGCCTGGTCCGGGAGGCACTGAATTACCGGTGCCGTCGCATCGTCGGTGAGCGCGGCGATGGCCTGGACTTGCAGGAGGATGTGCAGCATGGTAAGCAATGGTTTCGCGAGATGGTGAGGACGAACCAGCCTCTTGGTGGACGACGACATGGCGAAGTCGTCTAAGGTTGGATACTAGCTGTGTTTGTTTTCAACTCTATGTTAGTCAGTACAGTTCAAGAAATCGTCTGCCCCTAATTAGGAACATTATGCGTCAGCAGTAACACATATGGTTCTAACGTCATCGGATGCGTATGTAGAGAAAATTGTGTCTCTGTTTTTTTGCTCACATTAAGACAGGGATGGGAAACCACGTTTGTGATCCCGCCCACATCTAAATGTGATCTCTACATTGTAGATTCATGCGTGCATTTCACATTTATGATAAATCCACATCATAGACGTAGACCTAGAGTCTAAAGACGTCCGGATTAACAATAGTCAAAAAGTTCGATCCCGGTTCAAGAAAAATGGTACACGCTACAATAGTCACAAATTTCTTGATTCGATGGGGTCAAGGAACGTGTGGTATGGCACTTGTGAGATGTTTTTGCATGGCACACGGACAAAAACTTCTCCGCGTTCTAGAGACTGGGACGACGTTTCCGTCCCATTTCCTGTCTATGTTCGACATTAACACACGTATGTGATTAACTGTTCTATGGTGTTGTTATACCTGGGAGAAATATTATGGAAGGTGTTGTTATTTTGTATGAAACTATGCACGAATTACATCGCAAAAATAAAAGTGCTGTGATTTTAAGATCGATTTTGAAAAATCCTATGACAAGGTTAAATGGTCTTTTGTACAATAGCCGTTCAGAATGAAAGGTTTCTCTCCTAAATGGTGTGAGTGGATAACTTCTTTTATTCAAGGGGGACATGTTGGTATTAGAGTAAATGATCAGACCGGTAATAATTTTTAAACTTACAAAGGTATAAGGCAAGGGAATCCTTTATCTTCAATTCATTTTAATATAGTAACAAATATGCTTACTTTATTAATTAAGAGGGCTAAAGATGCTGGTTCGTTGAATGGGGTAGTCCCTCACCTAGTGGATGATGGTTTATCTATTTTACAGTATTCAGATGATACCATCATTTTTTTTGGAACATGACTTACAACAAGCGAAGAATCTTAAATTGATTTTATCTGTGTTTGAAAAGTTGTCTGGCTTGAAAATAAATTTTCATAAGAGTGAATTATTTTGTTTTGGTCAGGCAAAGGAATATTATGATGAGGATTCTAACATATTTGGTTGTAAGTTTGGCTCTCTCCCTGTTAAATATCTTGGTATACCAATGCATTTTAGAAAACCGAATAATAGTGAATAATAGAGACTGGAAAATGATTGAGCAAAGAATTGAGAAAAAACTTAGTAGTTGGAAACGAAAACATTTATCTGTTAGGGGTAGACTTGTTTTGATTAACTCTGTAAATTCAAGGTTAGCTATGTTTATGATATCTTTTTTTAGATACCGAAAGGGGTACTTCAAAAAATTGATTATTATAGATCACGGTTCTTTTGGCAAGGGGATAACCATAAAAAAAAGTATAGACTTACTAAATGGGATATCATTTGTCAACCCAAGGATCAGAGAGGTTTAGGGGTTCATAACTTCGAAATACAAAACAAGTGTCTCTTGAGTAAGTGGTTGTTTAAGTTGATTAACGAGGAAGGTGTATAGTAAAATCTATTGAAGAGAAATATCTCTACAATCAGTCTATAACCCAAGTTAATAAGAAATAGGGCGATTCTCATTTTTTGTCAGGACTCATGAAGGTCAAAGATACCTTCTTAGATATGGGTTCTTGGATTGTAAATAATGGAAAACAAATAAGGTTCTGGGAAGATAAATGGCTAGGAAACCTGGCATTTAAAGACAAATATCCATCTTTATACTCTATTGTCCGAAGGAAAAGTTCTACTATTGCTAATGCTATGAGATTTGTTCCACTTAATGTTTCCTCCTTTAGGAGATCATTAGTTGGTCAGAATCTTGCATATTGGTATGAATTGTGTGCTTCTATTGCACATATTCAATTGAATCAATCCTCTGATAGCTTTAGATGGAATTATCATCAGAATGGAATATTTTCTGTTAGGTCGATGTATCTAGCTTTAATTAATAATGGTTATATTGAGCGAAATAAGATTATTTAGAAGCTTAAGATGCCACTTAAGATTAAGATTTTTATGTGGTACTTGCTTAAAGGGGTTGTGCTAACAAAGGATAATTTGGCAAGACGAAATTGGGATGGCAGTTTAAGATGTTGTTTCTGTATGAAAAATGAGGCTATCCAACATCTTTTTATAGAGTGTCATTATGCAAAATTTGTTTGGAGAGCATTACGGTTCTCTCTTGGTTTATACCTTCCTACTACCATATCTAATATGTTTGATGGTTGGCTTTTGGGGTAGACAAGAGAAGAGTAAACTCATACTTGTAGGAGCTTCTGCCATATATTGGGCTCTATGGTTGACTAGGAATGATATGGTTTTTGACAAATCACCATCTTTCTCATATATGCAGGTAATTTTCAGGGCAACATATTGGCTCCGATTTTGGGCACAGCTGCAAATGTGTGAAGATGATCAAGAGCTTATGAATGTTGCATGTCGTAGGCTTGAGACAACGGTCATGCAACTCTTTGCAAACTATGGATGAAGATTCACAAATAGACTGGAATAAATGTGCTCTCCTTATCTTAGTTTGATCTTTTATTTTGTTGGGTGTGTTTAATTCATTTGAACTACACTCAGTGTTTGAGTGATACTTTTGTAATAATTGGCTGTAGCTTTGATGAGCAAAGGCCGGGATATTTTATTCCATTATGTAAAAACAAACTGTTCTATGGTAGTGAAACTTCTCTTAAAATTCTAAAGTCCTAATGTGATAAGTACCTTGATGGAGAGATGGTTGACCAGACCATTGATTTATCGTGACTTTTCTGTAGTAACTAGGATGGTAGCCCATGCAATCATGCGAGCATTATCCTAGGCGGCTTTGTTTGAGAAACTTATATGGACGGAATATCTACCGGATGGCACATGCCATGTTTTAAAAGTATTATTTCTCTATAAATTTTCTTCATCGGTATTGCTTAGATAATTCTCCAATCTATTTGTTAACTTTAAATTATATAATATATCATTCATCCTTAGAGGCAATTATCTATAATGTTCTTCATTATCTGGAAAAAAAAGTAGACTTAGTATGTTTAGAAAAGATGCCTATCAAATTAAGTGTACACAAAAAGCAAGGTATTTTGTCTTTTTAATTGAATGTTGAGGGGATATATTTTTTAACAAATAAAAAAGTTATTATTGCTAATAAATATATTTTATTTGTCCCACCAAGCTACCCCTCCCTTAAGTACATTGACACAATTTGTTACATTAGGGATCTATGTTAAAATGAAGTATTTTAATTTTTATATATAATAAAATATAGATAATATGGATCTTATATTTTTTATTTCATTATAATAAAACATTAGTTCAAACGAACTATAAATAGGATCTGCCAGCGATGACGGTAGTGCACTACTAGAAAAATAATTTTTCATGGCGTCACATTATAATTTTTACTGGCGGCCACATACTAAAACCGCCAGCAAAAACGTAAGGAGGGGTGAGGGGTATAGGACCGCCAGCGGAAACCGATTTTCACTGGTGGCCACGTTAAGAGGTACGCCATAAAAAATACTCTATTTTTCGAGGCGGACCTCTTAAATGTCTGTTGACGCGAAAAACACACAGTGGTATGGGAGATCTGCTTAGCTCCAGTGCAGGTCCAAAGGTTGGTGAGGTGCGGGCGTGCCAGTCAGTTTGATCCTACAACTGACAAGATATGCAAATAGCATATCAATGAGCCGATCGGCTGACAAGCCGATGGAGCAATTCCAGCCGATGCCGACACCAGCCAATAGCAAAATGGTTTTGAGCAATCGGCTATATGTCCAATGTAGATAATGATATAAAGTAGATCGGCTGATGATGACAAATAACAATAATATAGCAATATAATCTGGAAGAAACCAATCGGCTAACAATCTATACCTATACTAATTGGGCACTTTCTACAAGCTTCCACGTTAATCAGAAAGATCTAACCGTTAATTAAGTAAATCTTATTATCTTAGCCATCTATTATTAAGCCATGGGCCTTGAAAAGCCCATCGAATCTCCCCCAATACATAAACCTTTTTGTCCATACCTATCAAATCTCTCTCACGTACGTATAGGTATTTTTCCTCGGGCGGCGTTCATCCCATCAGCGATTTTGTAACGCCGACAGCAACGGCAGCAACAAGCAAGCAACGGCGGCGGCGGTCATGTGCCTCAACACATGTCGTACTCCTCGAGCGGCATGCACTTCGTGGTTACTGGTAATCCGCTCCATATGGTTACTGGAGAAACCATCTTTCATCGGTTGGGCTATTTCCACAATAGTTCCGGTTACAATAAAAACCGGGACTAAAGATGATCTTTAGTCCCGGTTAAAAAGGGTAACTGGTACATTTGATCTTTAGTCCCGGTTGGTAAGATCATCTTTAGTCCCAGTTCAAATGCTGTCAGGGCTTGTCAGGCCCCCCCGGGATCTTTAGTCCCGGTTGGTGTTACCAACCGGTATTTAAGATCACCGGGATCTTTAGTCCCGGTTGGTAATGATCCCGGTTATCTTTAGTCCCGGTTGATAACACCAACCAGGACTAAAGTCCCACCCCTTTATATATGTCTTCTTCCTCCTCCAGCCCGAGCAAGCTTCAAAATTTCTTCAAAAAAGAGGGGAGGTCATGCTAAAATTTATAGTGAATTTACTTTGGTGATTATATACAAATCGGAGGTGCCTAAAAGGTTAGCAACTTCATCCTCCAATGTATTTTTTGGTCATATTACATTTGGAGCTATGTTTTGCACACTTTTTTGTCTCCAAAATTTTGTTGTAAGTTGATGAGAGAGAAAATTTGTGTGGGAACAGAAAGAATATATAGAAATTTTGTTTATTTGCTAAAGAAGGTTTTATAAAATAGTTGAGTAGGAAAATATAGTGAAAGTTAATCTTAAATAAAAGAAAACAAACTAAATTGAAAATTAAAAGAATTTAAAACTTCAAAAATAATAAATAAGAATTATTTGGTGGAATATTTTATAATTTTTGTATGAATAATGATATGTCATTATTGTATGACTGTTGAAAGAGTTTGTGATTATTTTATCATTATTGTATGACTGTCATTATTGTACGAATGATTATTTGTGTACGATTTTTTTTCATTTCATGTAGATGGATCGGTAATGGATGTACACTGACTGGCGGTCCAAAGAGTTTATTGATGGCGTGCATTATTTTTTGAGAGTGGCCGAAGCTAACAAGCAGAAGGGTTTTATTTGT